AGGATTAGAATCTGGGTCTCCTCCCCCTAAATCCCCTGCTGGTTTCCCCAACACAGGACAACAGGTAAGCGGGACTGTGAAGGGTGTGTCCCAGTGGGAATCACCTGTGGCTGAGATGAACTTGTTGTAGTTCTCATAGACCAGGGTCTGCATGTCGCTGTCCAGAGCCCGGATCTGTCGCACCATGTCTGTCTCACTGTCCATCAGCTGGGCCAGGGGGCACTCTCTACGCAGCTGAAGGAAATCGGGATGTTAGTGCTCAGGACATGGGCTTTCATGGCCCTCGGCTTGCCCCTACCTGGTCGGCTTTCGGTGCAAGAAAACCCTCATCCCACCCTTGTCAGGAATCCTAGACGTGGAGCCTATCAGTGGCATAGGTCAGGAGTTTCTGGATTCGACCCTATTTGGGGTTTGTCGGCCTTGGAAATGCTCAGAGTCAGCCAGGGCCCAGTCCAGAGCCTGTCAGCGCCTGGGCCACGCCCCCTGCCCCCGAGCCTATCAGAACATCAGCCCAGGACACCTCACACCCCGCACCTCCTCAGGCCAGTGCAAGTCCGCCCATGCCCCCCTTAGACTCCAGCTCTGCCCCTGCTTCCTGCCCGAGGGTCGTCTTGTTTTTAGGAACCCCTGCTTCCCTCACCCCCGCAACAAAGTCGAAGGCGTGATCTGAGGGTGCAATGTATTGGGGGCCTGGTTCCCCAAAACACACACACACACACACACACACACACACACACACACACACACACCTTGTCCAGATACACCTCTGGGTCGAAGTGCGCCCCGTTGAGATCCGTCGGGTCCAAGGGGTCCGACCCCGGGGGGCGCCCCGCCGTCTCCCCCTCCGACAGGCCGTAGTAAAGCTTCAGCATCCCGTGCGCCTTCCGCCGACGCTCCGGGGCCTCAGCCTCGGGCCCCTCCGGAGAGTCCCCAGGTCCAGACCCCGGGCCAGGCCCAGCGGCTCCCGCCGCCATCGCTCCAACTGCAGCCCACGGGCGTGAGGCTGGGAAGGGGACCAGGAGGAGGCACTTCCGGGAGCCATAAAGTTCTTGTTATAACGAGGCAGTCCTTCAGCTGAAACGTCCCCCTGCAGCCCTGGGTCCTTCGAGACTAGAGTTCCCCCGTACCTTTCCTCCCCGAGCGAAAGGTTCCGGTAGAGCCCTGGGTTGCCCAGCCTCTGAAGCGGAAGGATTGAGTGGAACTGGTGGGGTGCTTCCCTCCCAGAAGGAAAGCGGGTCCTGGCTCCCAACCCCGCACCCCCGCAGGCAGAGGACCCCGGAATATGTCTCTGGATGCCGTGGACGGAGCGTCAGCCGTGGAGCCGGAGAGCGTGTGCCTGATATCCTGGCATTGGCTCTTTACCCGGGTAGCGGCTCAGTTTACCCCATTCCTAATATTGGGGTGCTGACCTCCCAGGAGTCTGCGAGGAGGCTGCGAGGGTTAGAGGCACGTACAGTGCGCGCGGTGCCTCTAGCGCAGTGTTCTTCGGGGCCGGTCCTCTGACACGGGTCAGTGTGCCTTCAGACTTGACTTCCCCCAGACCTAGCTGCTGCTGCTTCTCCTTCTTCTTCTTCTTTTTTTTTTTTTTTTTTAAGTCCCCAAGCACCTCAACATATGTGCTTAGAAGACCGACTCTTCAGATCTTCAGTGACTGGTGGGACATGCTGAGTGAGGGCCTGGGTGGAGATGTTGAGGGTAATTCTCAGGTGTCCGATTTCAACAAGATGCAGGTGTTCACCAAGGTGCAGCGCTCAATTGGACAGGTAATGCAGTTCAAGTTGAGATAAGATAAGCTTTAATAGAGAAAACGACTTTATCCATGTGGTCCTTGAAACATTACTTGTGATGGGCTGGCGGTGGGGGGGGGAGGTACTGGAATGGAAAGCTCCTTGTTTAATTATTCTTTGGCAGGGGTCCTGCAGGCCGAACACATCCCACCACCTGTTTTCATTTGGCCTGTGAGCTAAGACCGGTGTGTTCTTTTTTTTTTTTTTTCATTTTAAAATGGTTAAAAAATAAGAATGGTATTTCATGACGTGAAAATTATGTACAATTCATATAATCAGAGCAGTTCTTAAAAGTTCTCATCAGGAGGAAAAAAAAATTTGTTAACTATGTATGGTGACAGATGTTAACTAGACTTGTGATCATTTTGAATACAAATTTGGTACAAATACCAAATCATTACGTTGTACACTTGAAAATAATGTAATGTGGGACGCCTGGGTGGCTCAGTCTGTTAGGCGTCTGCCTTCGGCTCAGGTCATGATCCCAGGGTCCTGGGATTGAGTCCCATATCGGGCTCCTTCCTCAGCGGGGAGTCTGCTTCTCCCTCTGCCTGCTGCTCCCCCTGCTTGTGCTCTCTTGCTCTCTCTGACAAATAAAATCTTAAAAAAAAAAAAAGAACGTAATGTTAATGTCTATCTCGATTTAAAAGATGATTTTCTTATTTATTTATTTGTCGGAGAGAGCGAGTGCACAAGCAGGGGGAGCGGCAGGCAGAGGGAGAAGCAGACTCCCCGCTGAGCAGGGAGCCCGATGAGGGACTCGATCCCAGGACCCTGGGATCATGACCTGAGCCGAAGGCAGACGACCAACCGACTGAGCCACCCAGGTGTCCCAAGACAATTTTCATAAAATATGAAAATTATGTGAAATTATATGAAATATTGCAGTGTCTATAATTTTATTTGAACACACCCAGTCCCATTTTGTTTACATATTATCTATGCCTGCTTTTTCACTACAACAGAAGTGTTGAGTAGTTGCAACAGAGACCTTATGGCTAGCAAAACGTAAATGATTTACTATCTGGTCCTTTACAGGAAAAGTTTGCCGACCCCTAAAATCTGTGTTCAGAGATGTTCCTTTTATGTTCCAAAGGATGTTCAGAGACAGCCTATGATGCTATAATCTTAAGAAAATGAAAATGGAGAGTATAGGGATGCCTGGGTGGCTGAGTCAGTTAAGCATCTGCCTTCAGCTCAGGTGATCATCCCAGGGTCCTGGGATTGAGCCCACGTTGGGCTTCTTACTCAAGGAGGAGCCTGCTTCTCCCCCCTGCTTGTGTTCTTGCTGTCAAATAAAGTCTTTTTTTTAAAAAATGAAGAGCATAAAGATTATCTACTCCAAGAAGTCTATAAACTTTAAAAAGTTGCAGAGGGCGCCTGGGTGGCTCAGTCGGTTAAGCGACTGCCTTCGGCTCAGGTCATGATCCTGGAGTCCCGGGATTGAGTCCCGCATCGGGCTCCCTGCTCGGCGGGGAGTCTGCTTCTCCCTCTGACCCTCTTCCCTCTCATGCTCTCTCTCATTCTCTCTCTTTCAAATAAATAAATAAAATCTTTTTAAAAAAAGTTGTAGAATACTGTTAAGAAAAATTATCCAAAATCTGGAAATAAGACCAAGAGTGTAGCATGTCCTGCTAGTGCCATCCTGGGGCCTTGTTTAATTACCCACAGGAATGAGCATTTGATGTTGCTATTTACCATTTCATGTTCAGACGCTGATATTACAAGTAGATACTGTCCAGGAGAGATACAGGACATTTATATTTAGTAGAAAAAGTAACTCCAGAGGTGCCTGGGTGGCTCAGTCAGTTAAGCATCTGCCTTCAGTTCAGGTCATGATCCCAGGGTCCTGGGATCGAGCCCCACATTGGGCTCCCCTGTTCAGCGGAGAGGCTGCTTTTCCCTCTCCTTCTGCAGTTCCCCCTGCTTGAGCGCTCACTCTCTCTCAAAGTCTTAAAAAAAAAAAAAAACTTAAAAAGTTCTATTTCTTACTGTCCTGTAGGACATCAACCAGTTTTGTGTCTAACCTAGAATCATACTCTAACATTCCTCTTTATTTTTTTTTAAAGATTTTATTTATTTACTCGAGAGAGAGCAAGAGTGAGAGCAAGAACACGGGAGAGGGAGAAGCAGACTCCCCGCTGAGCAGGGAGCCCGACAGGGGGCTAGATCCCAGGACCCCGAGATCAAGACCTGAGCTGAAGGCAGCCGCCTAACCGACTGAGCCACCCAGATGCCCCTCTAACATTCCTCTTTAAGTGCCTGTCCATATCCAGGTCCCCAAGACACATTACCACCTTACTGAGGGGGAACCCCTCACTGCTGGGTTTATACATCTTAGTTACATGTTCATTCCAGATCTAGCATCATATTTTTAACTTTTTGAAAATTATACTTTGACATTTGGTGATTCTCTAGAATGTTTTTCTAAATTATCCATGTATATGTACATGTAGGTACATCAAGTTACATCAAGAAGGGACCCAAAAGATGCCCACTCACCAAACTGTTGAGGGGGTTACCTCTGTTAGGTAGGTAGGAGCCCGGGGGGGCCGGTGTCATTGCCTTTTCCTCTGTACGCTGTGTATTACACAAATCTTTTACAAGAATGTAGTCATGTGCTACTTGGGTAATTTTTAAATGGTGTTGAGCCAGAAGCCCGAACGTCTAAAAAGTTCATCTGTATTCACACGAGAACGGAGGTGCGAACAATGGTTTCAACAGTGGGCCAACGGCTAGGCATGGGGGGGTGTCACCCCTGTACTGTGTCAGAATGGGGGTCTGAGGGACTGTTGTGATTAATGACACTGGACAGTAAACATGGATGTGGCAGGAGACCGAGGGTCTTGGCCGGACCTTGGATCTAACTTCTGGGGCAGGCGGACAGAAAGGAGGCCACGGGGGTGGCTGAGTTCAAGTTATCCTTCTTCTACTCTAGTTCCTGGGAGCTTTCATGTTCCTCCACACCATTTCTGCCCATTTTTCTGGGTGATACTGCTGAGAGTCCTGGAGTTTTCACCTCTCCCACGTATGGAGGAAATGTTTTCTTGTTGCTTGTAAGTGTCCCTGCCCAGTCACAGCCTCGGGTAGAACTGGATCTTAGTCTCAGTACTGACTCCCTCACTCATTGGCTGTGGGCACCTGGGCTGACACTTCCTCTGTACCTCGGACTTGTGTGCAAAACAGGATTTATGCCACCAGCCTCACCTGGGACTCTTGGAAAGGACAGAGGTGATGGGTGCGAAGTGCTGAGTGCTTAAAGGTGGCACAGGAGAAAGCTGGTCAGCATCAGGTCCTCGGACATTTGGGGAAGGATGGAAAAGTCCGTTGCTGTCTGGGCCATGCCTAGGGAGGGCACGGGGAAGGTCCCAGGACAGCTCTGGGCAAGCTCTTATCTTTTCCCTTCACTTTGTTCCTCCCCATCCGGGAACGGAGCAAATACTTGGAGCTTCTCATTCAGCCCAGGCCTCCCCTCACCTGGGAACGCCCTCCAGCTACACATCCGAAACCTAGTCTCTCGTTGGCCTAAGACTTGTTGTGGACCTAGGACATGCCCTTCCATTTTTCTGAGACCTGGCTCTGTGGAAATGTGCCCACAGTACCTCCTCTGTGGTAGGTAGGAGGCAGGGGAGTGGGGGGTCAACTCAGTGAGAAGAGTCGGACTCAGTGAGAGATGTGCACAAGAACGCAGTGTGTATGCAGGCAGGATGATAAGGGACACTGTCCCTTCCTCAACACTCCTGCTGCTCTGTACCTTCAGCCCTCCATCCGACCTTCCCTAATTTGGAGCTCCCCCGACCCCCCAGGAACCACTCCTGTACTGGCTGGAACCAGCCTGTATTCTAGAATCTTGTCCCCTCCTATGTCCCCGTGGTTCTAGCATATCCCACTGCGACGCCAGACCGTGCGCTCTAGAACCGGAGGGGTCAGCTGCTTCTCCTGAACAGTGCTGACTTGCTCAGCTTCCACCGTTGGACTGGAGTCTGTGCGGCCACCACGATGCGGTGGCGGGACCGGCTGGCTGTGCTCTTCTTCCCACAAGGCATGGTGCTCACCGCAGCTGCCCTGATGCTCTTCCTTATACACCTTGGGGTCTTTGCCAGCGACGTGCACAACTTCTGCGTCACCCACCACTACGACCGCATGAGCTTCCACTACACAGTTGTCCTGATGGTAGACTGGGGCCGGGGCTCAAGGGCTGGTCGGGGGAGGCCCAGGGACTGATGGAAACCCCACTGTTGTCTCAGGGGGCCACTCTCCCACTGGATGGGGCCTACAGTTCTCCCAGGTGATGAGCATCTGCTGGGCCGCCATGGGGTCACTCTACGCTGAGATGACAGATGACAAGTTTCTTCGGTGCTTTGCCCTGACCATCCTGAGTGAGTGGGGGAGGGGGTTGTGCCAAGGGGGAGGGGGAGCTTTGGATCCCTGAGACATGGCAGATAGTAGGCAGGGAATGCTGATAGGGGCTCCCTCCTCTGCTCAGTACTAAATGGAGCCATGTTCTTCAACCGCCTGTCCCTTGAGTTTCTGGCCATCCAGTACCGTCAGGAGAACCACTGAGGCCTGAAGACTGGGCTGAGAAGGGGGAAGGAAAAGGAGGCTTCGGTGTTTTAATAAAGTCTGTCGTTTATTTCCACCTGTCACCTCCTTTGTGGGGAGGAGGGCGGGAGGCTGGAGACCCAGGGTAAGCAGGTCAAGACAGACATTTGACCTGCAGGGGCCCCAGGCCCAGCCAGCAGCCACTCTAGTGGACTTGACTGCACCTGGGATCTTAGTGTCTCAGGCGTGAAGAAGAGGAGCAGAAAAAAAGTCCCCAGGCCTCCCTACCTCAGGCCCCCGGGTCCTAGGCTGGCCTGGCTACAAGCAAGGGCTCAGGAGGGCCCCACACGGATGTGAGGGTTCATGAGTGGGTCCAGGTTGGGATCGCTGTCAGCTGCAGCTCGGCCCAGGCGAGACATAAGCGCGAGGAGGGCCAGGAAGCCCAGGAGCCCCAGGAGCAGCAGAAGCCCCGCCCGCTGCAGCAGCGTCAGCGGCCGCTTACGAGACCCAGCCCGGCTCCTGCGGAGGACAAGGGGCGAGTCAGGTCAGGTTCTCAATCCCTGACGGCCCGTCAGCCCGGAGAGGAACCCCAGACACGACACTTGTCTTCTGGCCCTGGTGCTGCCATTCCTGAGCCTTGCTGCTTCCGGTGCGCAGGCTCATCCCTGCACCTGCTCGTTACACAGGGGACCATGCAGCTCAAACCAGCTGAGGCAACTAGGATGTGTCAGGCATGGCAGAGTCACTAGGCTCAGGTGGTGTTGGAGCAGCAAGGGGCCTCAAAGAGCCCAGCCTCAAGCCTCAGATACCTAGCAGGCGAGGAAACAGCCCTACAGTGGAGCAGACTCAAGACTTCTAGGGCCGAGCGGAGGCCTCTCTGCATAGCCAGACCCCAGGTACTACTGATACCCAGTCGAAGGCCCTCTTATCTATCATGTAATCATCATGCCCAGGGCCTCTGGCTCTCACTTCCTCTCCTCCCCGCTCCTGGCATCCGGGCCCACCTGACCGTGCATACCTGAGCAGCTGGGCCAGCCAGCCCAGGGCAGGCCGGCGACGGTACTTGTCGTCATCACAATCTCCGTGGAGGCCTGGTGAACGGTCATCATCCCGCGTGTCATACACCTTCCTTGGGGCTGAGGCTGCAGGGGCAGAGCCACCGGTATCCACAGGCTCAGAGAAACTGGCCTGCAGCAGGGTGGCGAGTGGGGAGGGCAGGAGGTCCTTGCCCTCTCAGCCCGACAGACCACCTCAGAACTGTGGGGAGGTGATGTCTCTGCTAGAGTGAGGAGGGGGCCCCCCGGGTGGGCATCTGGAACCCTGAGCTCCCCCCACATGAGCCACCCCACTTCCTTTCCATCCTCCTCTAGACTGGACCATTCCCTGGCTCACCATGAGTCAAGGGCTCAGGATTGCCCATATGGATCACTGTGTGCTGCTCGGGTCGGCTCGGGGAAGTGGGGGGCCGGGGGACTTGGCTGTAGAAGGATGGGGCAGCGGAAGCACTGGTTATCTCCTCCTGTTCAGGGGTCCCACTGGCTGTAGCAAGAAGAGAGTGGTTAGCAGAGCAGGGAGGCAAGGGCCCCCAAGGGCAGTGCAGACCACCACTTACCATTAAAGCTAGACCAGTCAGAGAAGTCAGAAGTGTTGAGAGGCTCGGGTTCCGGGCTCACCACCTCATCGATCTGGAGGAAGGAACCTGTGTTACCAGCCTGCCCGGTGCTGTCCCTCTGTACCTATCTGGCCCAGGTTGGGACCCAGGGCAGATGGTCAGTCAGTCAGACAGACAGACAGACAGACAGCCAGACAGATTCTCACCAGAGGAAGGCCCAGTCCTGCCCGGGCCCAGTTGACCGTGGCCAGCTTCTCTCTCAGTGAAGAAGCCACAGGGCCAGCCAGGTTGGCTGGGGGAAAGATGGGGCCACTGCAGGTAGGGCACTGGTAGCCAGCAGGCGCTGTGTTTCGGGGCAGCTTGGCAGCACGTTCATTGAGGCAGGCCCAGTGGAAGAGGTCTTAGGGCCCATGAAATAGGGGAGGAGAGGCATGAGGAAGAAGACACTTAGGACGTCTAGCCCAGCAACAGCCCCCCGCCTGCTACAGGGATGTATATATGCACACACACATATAGCCCACAGCCTTCTCCTTCCTGTCCTCATTCAGGTCCACTTCATCAGTGTTCCCTGAGACTTCGGCCTTCTTGGCCACCACCACCTGAACTCAGTCAAGGCAGATGCTACCCCAGCACAGTAAAAGGGAGAAGCCCACTAGGGTGGGAAGAAGATGCCAGCAACCCTTAAAAGTGAGTCCTCGCTGAACATGCACTCATCACAAGCTCCTTGAGCTAACAGCTAGTTAAGAACAGTTTCAGAAAAAGTTCCTAGACGCACACAGGCACACGTATGCATGTACACACCTATGGGCACAAATGTACACGTGCTGGTATACACATAATCAAATACAAGAACGATTCCCTGTATCACCACGTGTGGCACACTAACTCCCACATATACACATCTATACATTCACATTTGCTAAAACTCAAGCACTGTCACCCACACCTGCTCCTGCAACCCCACAACACACCTGTGTTCATACATTCACGCACAGTTACCCATTCACTCATCTGCAGGTACTAACGCACTAATTAACACACGTAAAGTCCTAAGACACATTAAATTCATGCATATATACACACATGCTCATCACACTGAGAAACACACGCGGAGCTCTTTTGCACTAGCTCCTTCAAAAAGTGGAGTTAAGCCTCTTACACCAGAGTCAGGTCAAGGTCATGATACATGTGACTGCTGACTTCTTTTAGCTGAATGTACTGGAGAAACTCCCTTCCTCTCTGTTTAACTAGAATGATTAACAGATCCTAAATGTCCAAAAGCCTCATCCCTTCAGCTTCCTGCTGGTCCAGCCAGCTACTGCTCACAGCCAAAATGATACCCACAGTTGGACTGGCTCTCACTCAACCCTCAAAATGGGCAGGTAAGAAACCAGGAGCTTTAATTTTTAGGGAAAAAGACGGAGGCCTAGAAAGAAAAAAATGACTTGCCTGAGCTCACACAGTAGGTAAATAACATAGCAGAACTAGAATTTGGGGCTCCAGCCTCCCAAGCTTTGGGAGATCTCACTGCCCTGCTGCTTACAGAGGACCTGGAAACTGGTCACCAAGCTGGGCAGGCCTCACCATAACAGACGAGGCGGGTTGTCTCCCGGTTGGCGAGGGGTATGTTGCACAGGCGGCAATTCGGATTGTAGTCGCTATCTTGGAGCCACTGCAGATAGGACTGGACGATGCACTGCAGTGGGAGAGAGAGATCACAACAGGGGCCCATCTCCTCAAGGTCCAGCTGCTTCTTTGTCTCTCATCACAGAGGAGACTCATCCTTTCGTTTTTCCATCAATAAACATTTACTGAGCACGCAGTGTGCCAGACTCCGCCTTAAGGGCTGGAGATAGAGCCGAGCACAAAAGCTCCAGGAGAGCTTCATTCCAACCCCTGGCCCTTCATGGAGTTGGAGAAAACCAATACCGCCTGCCCACCTACTGCCCTGCTCAGCCCCTGCCCTGAAGGCCCCACCTTGGCGTGATTGGCTACCAGGCAGTGCTCGCAGACGTTGACCCGATGTTCGAAGCAAAACAGATTGGTCACCTTCCTCTTGGGGCACTTGCAAAGTCCCATATTCGACCCTGAGGAAGAGGTCTGAGTTGACAGCCAAGTTGCGGTGTCCGCCACTACGAACTCACAAGCCCAGATCGTTTACACTCTTCACTCCCCTAAACACCTCTCATAATCGCCCCAACCCCCAATTACTGCCCACTGCCCCGCTACATTCCGGGCCACGCCCCCCAAACGAATCCCACCTGCGGTGACCTCTCATTCCTCCTGGATCCCGCCCCAGCCAGGTTCCTCCACCGGCGAGTCTCCGATACCACCGGCCCCGCCCCCAGGGGCTCCGCCTGAGCCCCACCCCCTCCAAGCCCCGCCCCCACCTTCAACACAGACCCCTCTCTCCGTGTTTACCGATCGACCGCCGCACCGGTCCCGACGGGCGCGAGCGCTGGCCCGACGCGCGGAAGAACAGGCACCGCGCTCACCCGAGCTCCCGCTCTGCGCTCTCTACCTCGGGCCGCTCCGATTATCCCTCTGCTGCCACGTCTCTTCCGGGTGCGGCGCGCTCTGATGACGCCAGCGTGCCGCTGGCCCCGCCCCTGCTGACGCCAGACGTGAAGATCGACGAACGGTGAACGGAACACGGCGGCCCGCCCGCCTTGCGTCACTTCCGCTTCCTCCAGGCAGAGCGGGTAATTCGAACGTTTAGGTTTCCGTCGGCCCTCCGGGTTGGCGCGAGCCTCGGCGGCGGCGGAGGCAGCGAAAGACTAAGGCTAACATGTCCGAGAGGCGAACGCGGTCCGGAGGGTCCGCCCAGCGCTCTGGTGAGCGGAAGGCGCGCGGGAGCCTGGGTCCGAGCCGTTTGAGGGACGGAGTCCCGCGAGGAGGCCCTCCCACCACCGCTGTAGGAGGCTCACTGCCCCGGAAAGGAGCTTGTTTGGGAACCTTCTCTCGCTCACTCCTGAATCTGTTCTCTAGACTCTGAGGCCTGGAGTCTTACCCTACCTCCTAACTTTTTTCTTTTCCCAGGGCCCGGGGCCCCACCTCCTACTCAGTCTCTGCGGAGGTCCCAGCGGAAATCAGGCCCTGATCTCCCGAGCACCCTCCCTGAAATCTGGCCCAAGGTGAGCCCCGGCTTTCTCAGTTTCTGCCCCGGAAGCCGCGGGACTAATGTGGAGCTCATATTCACTCCTCTTCTAGGCACCCCATGCGGCTCCAGTCAGAAAGCCCATCGTTTTGAAGAAGATCGTAGCCCAACCTGTAGAGGTGAGGACTGAGAGAGGCGTTGTGGGTTGGGAACCAAAATTGGGGGTGGCTATGTTATCAATTATTATTGTCTCCACAGATCCCGCCTGTCCACACACCTCGAAGGAGCCCAAGGGTGAGTTCATTTTTATCTTCTTAATGGAATGGAATCCAGGGCATTCTAGAGATCGGGCAGGACATACTGGCTGCTCACATCTGCCCAGGGAG